TCTATCATGCTTCTCTTCTTGTTGGGCTGCCAGAAAGTTCCAAAGTAAATATCAATCTTCAAGGAAAATTATCTTCTCTAAGACTTTGGATATGATGAACTACTGCTTTTGCTTCCCCATCTCTTTATGGCGTCTTGTCCTCTTTCGTCTAAAATATGCTTTTGTAAGCATAAAGTATAATAAAGAAAAGAAAAACAAAGGAAATGATGTAGCATAGTAACAGGATTTGGGTAGCGAGTATTCTGCACTTTGAGACACATTAAAGGTATCAGCGAGTTGCGTGCTGCTCTGATCGACTCTCAGCTCCTCAAGGGCATTAAGCCATTTCTTACTCATCTTTGCATTCTTGTGAAATGCAACCATGTCCAGCTCAGAGTAGACAGGTACCAGAGGTGCAATGACAGCAGGTATCATTTATTTGTAAATTGAAGGGGTTAAGGCCTTATCCGAACACTGTTAAGATGTTTTAAACACAATATGGTGGGTGATTAAACACGAGTCAGTGACACAGACAAATCTGTGGTAAGGGCAATTCTTCAAGGCCTCGATTAGAAGACTTCAAGCAGGAGATCAAACACTGAACTGAGCTTTGAATGCGGCATCTCTTTTAGATCCTTGGAAGCATACTTCAGAAAGGAGTCAGAGAACAAGGAAGGGGAGAACATACTCAGAGGCAGTAAGGAGGCTATTCTGGCTGGAGGGAAAGAATTTTGTACACACACACACACACACACACACACACACACACACACACACACAGAGTATAGGGTAGAAGCTCAAAAAACCAGCCAAGGACACAGTGTGGAGAACCCTGAATTCCAAGAACTTCACGTTTTAGAGTTTTAGAAAGTTATATGTTCCTGAGAACCTAAGTGTTACTGAAAGAGAAGTTTAAGGAAGATCAGACACATCCAAAATGTAGAATGGATGAGAAAGAAGGGAACCTACCAGGATGTGGGCAAGCGTAAGGCACTAAGAATCAGGTGAAATGTGGCCACAAATTCCCAACAGTCAAGTCAACAAAATTTGTTGAGTAATGTGATATGGAGAAAGAGAAACAAGGGAATCAAATTTTAATCGGAGACTTGAGAATAGGCGGCCAGGAGAATACTGATTAATAGAAACGGGAGACAGCGGGAAGACATGATTTTATAAGAAAGATGATGACTTTTATTTTAGACAGAGTTGAATTTAAGATAACAGTGGCTACCACCTCCAGCCCCTTACTCCCTGCAGTGCCATATGTATGCAATCTGCTAGTCTTTGCTAAGAAAAATTTCCCTGAATGGTATTTCCACATAAACACAAATAAACACAGTGGAGAAATCCTTTCATATAATATAATCTCCTTCTATAACTGCAAACTCAAATTTAAACAGATAAAATTGTAAACACAAAAATAAAAAAGCTCCAAAAATTGTCTACTTCTACAAAAGTATTGTGATTGTACATTCAGATGTTTAAAAAACAGTATTATATGAAAAGATGCTCAACATTATTTAGTCATGAGGGAACTAGAAATTAAAACCCCAACGAGATACCAATTCACAAGTACTAGAATGGCTGGAAAAAAATTTTTAATCTAATAGTAACGAGAAATGACATGGATGTAGAGCAACTAGAACTCTCATACACTGCTGGTAGGAATGCAAACTGGTACAGCCACTTTGGAAAACAGCTTGACAGTTTGTTTCTTAAAAAATTAAACATATACCTTCTGTATGACCCAGGGATGCTACTTCTGGCCTCTTACCCTAGAGAAGTAAAAACCTATGCAAATATTTACAACAGCTTTATTTATAATAATCAAAAACTGGAAAACAAGTCAAATGTGTATAAACTAGTGAATAAATTGTAGCATATCTATACACATATGGAATACTACAAAGTAAAATAAAACAAACTACCAGTACAAGCAACAACATAAAAGAATCTCAAAAATACTACATTAAGCAAAAAAAGCAAAGCATAAGATGGTATAATAGTACCCTGTATCTATTTCTATGATGTTCTGGAAAACAGAAGACTACAGAACAGTGGCTCACAGGGGCTGTGGGCAGAGGAAGGGCACTGACTACAACACGGCATGAGGGAACTTTCTGGGTTGATGGAAATACTCTATTTTGGTTATGGTGGTGGTTATAAACATTTATTGAAACTCATAAAAATGTACATGTATAAAGGGTGAATTTTATCATATGCAAAATATTCCTCAAGAAACCTGACTTGATAGAAAAAAAAATTGCAGCATCTTAACATTTGCTCAAAGAGAATTTTTAAATCACAGCATTGTCATCTATGATTACTCTGAAAAATTCTGGACATTTCTTAACTAGCTAGAATTCTACAAATGTCCTTAATATTGAAAAGAAATAAACACTATGCTTTTTCCTTCTTTAGGCCTCGAAACATTCCTTTGCACAGTTAGGGCATAAGGATGTTAAGAGTGTGCAGAAGCTGTGTGAATGCTGGTTATTGAGACACTAATAAAGTCAGTCTTGTTTGCTGGACAGCTGTTGGCTTCATTGTTCTTTTGTCACACACTAAAAAGGAGAGCTGTTATGCTAATGGAATGTGACCTTCTCATTGGATAGCTGTTACATCATGACCTGAAACACTGCCCGAGAACTCTATTTTCACCACGCACCACATAGGAAACGGTAAAACAAACAAAACAACAAAAGAGCCAAAAAACTATATTAAATGAGCAATACTCCTCCTTAAAATGAGATCACTTATAAGAAATACTTCTCAATACTTAACATCCCATAATTTACTTTGCTAATGACTGTTTTTTCTCAATTTAGTATCATTTAGTATATAACCTCAACAATTTATTTCTAAGTCCAAATAATTTTTATAATACTTCTCAGAAGGCATTTTGTATGAGCACTCCATGACTAGTAAATCTATAAAATTGTGAGAGTAATTTCTTTATTTTTGTATTAGCTAATGCCTACCTAGATTATTTTATAGCCTGGTCATTTATGAACCATCTTCACTAGAACAAGAGCTTTCAAAGTTTCTGGACCATTATCCACAGCGAGAAATACATTTTACATTGCAACCTAGTACAGATACATGTGTGTGTGCATGCATACATAACACTGAGGTCTTACAAAATAAGACTTACTCTTACCATTCAAGATGCCCTCTACTATATTCTTCTTTATTATTGTCTTTAAAATGCTGACAAAGACCCACACAATTCATATCACGGCCCACAGTTTTCAGTATCACTGCACCAGAAGGTGAAACACCAATGCAACGCCTCTGCATGTTTTGAATATAGGCTTTTTAAAATGTGTTTTGTTGTTGTTGTTGTTTTTCAAGTTCCGGGGTATGTGTGCAGGATGTGCATGTTTGTTACACAGGTAAATGTGTCCCATGGTGGTTTGCTGCATGTATCAACCCATCACCTAAGTATTAAGCCCAGCACGCATTAGCTATTTTTCCTGATGCTCTCCTTCTCCCTCCCAGGCCCCTGTCATTGTGTGTTGTTCTTCTCCCTGTGTCCATGTGTTCTCCTTGTTCAGCTCCCACTTACAAGTGAGAAGACACAGTGGTTTTTTTTTTCTGTTTCTGCATTAGTTTGCTGAGGATGATGGCTTCCAGCTCCATCCATGTCCCTGCAAAGGACACGATCTCATTCCTTTTTTATGACTGCATAGTATTCCATGGTGCGTATGTACCACATTTTCTTTATGCAGTCTATCATTGATGGGCATTTGGGTTGATTCCATGTATTTGTTATTATAAATAGTGCTGAAATGAACATACGCATGTATGTATCTTTATCACAGAATGATTTATATTCCTTTGGGTATATACCCAGTAATGGGATTGCTGAGCCAAATGGTATTTCTGGTTCTAGGTCTTTGAGAAATCGTCACACTGTCTTCTACAATGGTTGAACTAATTTACATTCCCACCAACAAAAGTAAAAGTGTTCCCTTTTCTCCCAAGCTTCATCAGCATCTGTTGTTTCTTGACTTTTTAATAATCACCATTGTGACTGGCGTGAGATGGTATCTCACTGTGGTTTTGATTTGCATTTCTCTAATAATCAGTGATGTTGAGCTTTCTCTCACGTATTTGTTGGCTGCATGAAAGTCTTGAGAAGTGTCTGTTCATGTCCTCTGCTCACTTTTTAATGGGATTGTTTTTTTCTTTTAATTCGTTTAAGTTCCTTGTGGACTCTAGATATTAGACCTTTGTCAGATGAATAGGTTGTAAAAATTTCCTCCCGTTCTGTAGACAGTCTGAACGCTCTGACGATAGTTTCTTTCACTGTGCAGAAGCTCTTTAGTTTAATTAGATCCCACTTGTCAATTTTGGCTTTTGTTGCAATTGCTTTTGATGTTTTCCTCATGAAATACTTGCCCATGTCCATGTCCTTAATGGTTAAAACATGTTGTTTTTTATAAATAGCTCACTGACCTTCCCCAAGGTTATCTCACAACTCACCACACTCTGCTCTTTCCCTCTGGAGGCTCCTAGTCCTGGCTGGAGTGAGCAACCAAGATGGAAGGGACAGTCAGAGCCCTGAGACCCTGCTGCTCCCCATCCGAGTGGTCCTTATATAGGGTACTGGGGGAGCTGGTCCTTCTTAGTCTTTAAGTATTCAAGGCTTTGCATTTTTCCTCTCCTATTTACCCTCACTGTTAGTCTTTGACTTCTAAACACACACACACACCCAAAGCAAAATGAAATTTAACAGTGGAGAAAGAATGGCAATATGGAAAAAAGTAAAGCTAAGTTTTTTTTATTATCGATGGATTTCAGTGCCACCTGCTATGCCTATTTCCTAGGAGCACAGCCACCTGAACAAGTTTAAAAGGCTGAAATTGCATGTAAATCACACATAAAATGTATTTTCAACTGCTAATAGGTTTCGGTTGCTGAACTTCTAGTCAACATTATGTTCTACTCTTTCACACTCAAACTATTAGGTATGTTATAATTAGAGATAAATTTTATGTGAAGATTGAGAAACTTACTTTTAAGGACTCCCATAAGGGAAACTGGACCAGAGAAAAAGGAATCTGAAGAGAGAAAAAAAAAAAATCAAATAAATTAGGCAAAAAAGAGCCAAGTTTGCCTGTATGACTATACGAGCCTGTAATTATTACTTCAACTTTACAACAAAGCTAATATCAAACAAATTCACAGTTATAGTAGACATAATGTTTAGAAAAAGAGTTAAAACTGTGGCCTGTGGATTTTCATTTTTTGCTGAGATGAAGTCTCGCTCTGTCACTTAGGCTGACAGATCACCACCCTCGACCTCCCAGGCTCACGAGATTTTTCCACCTCAGCCATCAGAGTAGCTGGGACTACAAGCACACGCCACCACACTCAGCTAATATTTGTATGTTTTCTTTAGAGGTGGGGTTTCACCATGTTTCCCAGGTTGTTCTCAAACTCGTGGGCTCAAGCAATCCACCTGACTTGGCCTCCAAAAGTGCTGGGATTACAGGCATGAGCCACTGAGCCTGGTGATCTTCTAAGTTTTGAGCCCAAGGGACATAAAATGATGTTGTGAAGCCCCTTTGAAATGGAAAGAGAAGCACAACAGTCTGGCTACTGAAATGACAAAATAAATATTTCCCAGCATAATGAAAACACTTTAGGACTTGACATTTCTGTGCTTAAGAGCCAAGGCTGTCTACTCCTTAGCAGGCAAAGTGTTAGGATTTAAAGGAGAAACCCAGACGAGAGAGAAGAAAGGTAAGGTAGGGGGAAAAGTGTTAGGGGAATGAGGAGACAACAGAGAGGAAAGAGGGAGCAGGAAGAGAAGGGGAGAGAGAAAGGAGTGGAAGAAAAGGAAAAAGTGGAGAGAGGAAAAGAGGCAGGTAAAAAAGGAAGCAGGAAAGGGGAACAAAAGCAGGGAGGTAGAGGGTGCGGGGGCAGAAAGGAGGAGCACAGAAGACAGAAAACAGAGGGCAGACAAGGAAAGAAAAGGGAGAAAAGAGGAGGGAGGAGGCTGGAGGGCAAGGGTAGGTGGAGGGAAGAAAGAGGAAGCAGACACAGCTACCTACAAGAGTCAAACTTGAGAAACAGGACTCCAGGAACGGAGCAGCCAGTGTGGGAGTGGGAAGCCCACACCCCTCAAGGAAGGATCACCAAGTCAGTCAATGCTGGGGGACTGGAGAGGTTCTAACAAAACACAGCGGGACGTGGGTCTGAGCGCTGATCAAGTCCCAGGCACAGCTGGGGAGGGGAGTCATCTGTAGTAATGAAGTATGAGCAGTCAAGAGAATCGCCACACTTAGAGTTAGGTATTTACAATGAGCTGTCTAACAGTAAGGGCTAGAACCACCAACACTTCTCATGTGCCAGATATCTGCAAATAAGCACTCTGTAAGCTTCATTTCACTGAATCCTCATAACGCATGCTGAGACAGTTAAGTAGTATTACTTCCTTCATTTTATAGTTGACGAGAATGAGGTTCAAAGATGCTGTGTAACTTGCCTAAAGGCAGTTAGGAGGTAAGAAGCCCAGACAATCTGACTCTAGAGTTTTGTCTAACTACCACTATCCCCAGGAGACATCTAAATTATCTGCATATAAATTCACCCACAGTACAATCTGTTATTAATTTTCTGAAATTCAAACTTAAGACACCCATGTCATATTTCCTAAGATAAAAATGTCTTAACACCAGTGGACCCCACGCAGCAGCTGAAGTAATGTCCAGTCACAGCCCAGGGGACCAGTGCTGGTGGTAGTGATGCCCATGGGCACGCACACGCCATGGGCCCAGTACTGGCATTGCACAGGCAGCCCAGCTGCAAGGGAAAAGTAAATGTGGACTTTGAACATTATCACTATCACTACATGTGGGTGGGTAGGCGTGGCTGTAATGTCCCAGTTTCAGAGGAATTAATGGGTATTTACCTTCACGTGAATTGAGGGCATTCTTTCTTTCTTCCTTTGTTTTTTTGAGACAGTCTTGCTCTGTCGGTCAGGCTAGAGCACAGTGGCACGATCTCAGCTAACTGCAACCTCTGTCTCCCAGGCTCAAGCAATTCTCCTGCCTCAGCCTCCCAAGTAGCTGGGATTACAGGCATGTGCCACCATACCTGGCTAATTTTTGTATTTTTAGTAGAGACGGGGTTTCACCATGTTGGCCAGGCTGGTCTCGAACTCCTGACCTCAGGTGATCCACCCGCCTTGGCCTGGCATTGTTATTTCTTAAATATTTATATTTAATCAGAAATTTAAAGATTAGCATCATCTGTCTTACTCAGCTACAGCAAATGATGGCCCCAAATTTGACAGACAGTGACCACAGAAAGAAAATCTGTCTACCATTCAGGAAGGAAATGTCAACGAGAAAAAAGATCAATGTCAACAGCCTGGGCTAATTTGACAAGCTAGAATCTCAGAGAAGTTTGTTATCATCATAAACAGGCAGCCAGCCCACCCTGAATGTCAAATTTCCCTAACAGTAGTTAAATTTAGTTTTTTATTGTCACAAACACATAAAAGCATCTGACACCATCCATTCTGAAACTCAAGTGTTATATTTCCAATTAATTATCAAAACAATAACTTGACTGTGTAATAGGTTTCTAAAAGCTTTTCTAAATTTTTTAAAGTCTATAATATGTAATAAAATATGCCCCAAAAGACAGGTAGTATGATTATGGATTAGTAGGAAGATAAATATTTCACATTTATAAGACGAAAAAAGCTTTAAAATTCACTCTAACGATCCACGTTAGCATCATTCACTTCTCAATTAAAATCACCTACAAATTGCATTGAGTGTTATCTACACTTATTTGGTACTTAATACTTTAGATTTTGAATTCTATCATTAAACATTTTGCCCATTTCCTCTACTGAAAGTTACTCATTGAACTGTTCCTTCAGTTTAAAGAAATAATTTTAAAATCACACATTTGGAACGGTTGGCTGTACTATTCCACTGGGTACTTATTTTAAAAAGAGGGCCGACAGTAAACCCCAGCTTTACTCCCTAAAACAAGATTGACAGTCTAAAGTAATTAAATATGCTATAAATGCCTAAATAATTAAATTTGCTTCTGACTTCTAGTAGTGAAATATCCCTCATAAATTCCTGCTGTGTGAAAATTTTTCAAATATTCTTCAAGTCAAAATTGTATCACACACTTGTTGTCATTTACAATATGAACAAACAATAATGAAAATGTGTTCCACACATGTGAAAGATGGGCTGCCAGCAAATACAGCTCCATAGCTAAAACAAACACTATTCCCAACGTCTACAGAACGCGGGCCCGTCAGAAAGCAAGGTCCCTCCCCACGTCTGCCTTGAAGTTACATAACAGTGATGTTTCTTCAAAACGTGGAATTTTATACCCCCAAACAGATGTAGGCTGTTATTCTAAAATGTTTTATAGATGAAGAAAATGAATCGTTGTACTCAGAGGTCTTATATTCCAAAACACAACATACCCATTTTATTGCACCTAAAGTTACAAAATGGCTCATTGTTGTGACCTGTTTAATGCCTCCATTTAAGATGTTTTGTTTGAATAAGGTTGTTAAGACCCAGGGCACTAATAAGTGAGTGGCAGTAAACCCAGCTACCATCAAAGACACAGATGGAGGGGGAAGAAACCTGCTAAAATTCAACATGGATTCCACTTAGTAATAAACAGAGCAATAATTCTATACAAGAGTGCATGTGAGGATTCCAGGTGAAATAGGGATAAAATGAAATCTGGGTGTGGTAAACAGGAAGGGCAAGTTAGGCATCACTAATGAAATAAAGACAAAATTATATTATGAGCACATTTCACCTATCACAAAGTGTGGGACTAGAATTATCTTTGAAGCCAATCAATGCTTCTAACCCTGTGGTCTTAAAATAAATGCAATCTAATGGTCCTTTAATAGCAAAGTGATTTATAATACAACTGAAGAGACAGAAGATATGATTTCTAAGGTATCACTTAGCCCTAACATTCTATTTTTCAATTAAAAAATTACATTACAATACCAATAAATTTTTAAAAAATAAGACTTGACTGTAAGCTACAATGAACATAATGCCACCATGGGTGATCTAGGAAGCCTAAGGACCAAGAAAGTCCATTTAAAAAGCTGTAAAAGCTTTTGTAATTGGCAGAAATAACCAAAAACTCTCTAGCGATAGATTTAAAAAACACATAAACCGTGTGCAAGACCTCTAGTTGAATGAAGAACAGCATGGAATTGGTAGGCTTGCCATGTATAGCAGAGTGGATCCAAGGACTGGCCCACTGCAATTTTCAAGATCTACAAGTGATTCACAGTAGAGTCTCCTTTTTCTTGCATGACAATTTCCAAATGCTAGTGGTTAATTTAGGGTTTTCCATTCTACTGTCCCACCGACAACAAAACCATTCTTTTAAATACTCTGAACCTTTTCCAATTCAACTCCAGGGGTAACCAAGGACAAATGAAGTTGAAGACCTAAAAATTCCTTGTACCAAAGTGATAATTATTCTTAAAAAAACAACAACAGAAGTAAGAACCATTCAAAGCTAGTCTGCTAGTATTCAACATAGCGGGAAAGAATTCCAATAGTAAATACATTCTGATTTTTTTAACAACTACAGTTCATTTATTTATACTGTACCTAAGGAAAAGAGCATATACCCAATAAAAGAAATTAACCTAAAAGGGGGAAAATTGAAAGTGAGTTACTCCTTAGGTTAATAAAAACTAAAGCATCTTTCCAAAGAAAACATTTAAAAAAAAAAAAAAAAAAACGAGCAACAGAATCTAATAGAGAAAAGGAGATGAGTGTGAGCAGTTTGATTCTTAAGTAAATCTTTCAGATTTCAAGGCCAGGGGCATTAGGAGTATCTCCAAACACAACTCAGTACATTAGTCATAAATGCTATCACTGAAGGTAATGATTAGATTTTCTTTTTCTACATTCTACAGAATCATCACAGTAATTTTGTGTAGATGGAACTGGTTCCTAATGTATCAATTTACATGTTAGAGTGCCAGTTATATAACGCTATTTTGTAATGAAGATAATGACAATGTCAAATTAGT